AGATTTTTTTTATTTTTTTTTTTAATTAAGAATCCAGGACCATTCTCAGGCAGATTGACTGTTGGTTCCTGAAGTTTGTGGTACTTTTGAAGGTGGAGTGGTAATGAAATCAGTAGTTCCTAAATATCTTGATCAAACTTTATTTCTGTCTTCTTCAGCCATCTACCAGAAAATTATGTTGTCTTCCATCTGTGTGAACTACATTAATAATGTTTTAGTATAACCTGGAGAAATATCTAAAATTAAGTAGGTATCATTTTTGGTACCTAACCCGATATGTGTGGTTTATTATGCTTAAAAAACAAATATCGATTCTAAAACATATAATGGTCAGACGTTTGATGGGAGCACTTCTGCGAATCAGGTGCAAGATTATGTTGTGTTGGGCACGAGGAAAGCAAACAGACACATGACAACATTACAAAAGGTTTGGATTAAGTGAGCTGCTGTGCAGCACAAGGGAATACCCAGCTGCTGTAATCACTGCGCCATCTGTCCTCATCCTTTCTCTAAGCGTGTGCCTCCCAACCTCCGCAACCAGGGAGAGAAGAATTTTGTAAGAACAGTAGCCTCAGTCACTGATATTCAGGGATTCACTTCTTTGAACAGCATGCATTAGGATATGATATAAACCAAGCCACGGAAGATAGTGTCCTTTAAAGGGATGCTCAAGAACGGTTGAGTTAAACTGTGACTGTTACAGGTCAGAACTTTTTCATGCTCAGGCAACTAACCTTGCTTCTCAGGTGTGTAATGTAACAATAAGCAAAGGAAGAGACTAACTGCATAATCTGAGAGTGTTTTAATGCCTGAAAGAGGTGTCCTTGCTTGTTTGAAAGCCTGTCCACTTTTCCCATCTGTCAGCTGGTCTGCTAAATGACTCCTGCTCCATTGCATTCACAACACTGTCACAAAACTATGGGCACAAGACTACACTAGCCTTAGAAGTAGGCATTTTTGCCAGTCACACTTACAAATGTAGTAAGAAATTTTCTTGACCAGTACATCTTGATACATCTCTTGATTTACCTCTCGCTGTACATATAGTGTAGTATTCAGAATATGTTTTCATCATAAGTATAATGATATTTAAGAAGTTCTCCTTTAAGAAAGTGGTAAAAGATGATTTAAAGGTCTCAAAAATAAGTTTACTGATGATCTAATCAATACTTACATGTGCATACATTTAGAAGGTATTGTAATTGCTGTAAAATTCTCTTTGCACTCTGTCACCAGATGCAGTAAGCCTTAAGAGATTTTTAAGGAATGGTGTTGACCTTTTAACCAAGTGGGTATGAAACAGGAATTTTCTTATGCATCAATAGCAAATGCTATGCCATTATAAACTTGGATTCTTAAAGAACACATCAGTGAAATCAAAACATTTTAAAATAAATTATATTTTTCTGAAGAGTTCTTAATGAATAAAATGTGCTGAAAATTTTGATAGAGGAATCAATCTGCTGCTGAGTTAGATTTTATGGAAGACTGAAATATTTTTTATTAGAAATTGTCCTGTGTGTTTCTTCATTTAAGAATTAGGAATATAAATTTTATTGATGGAATGTACTTCTATGCTGATAATCTTATCTCAGGATAGATATAATCTATGTTTTCTATAACTGGGATTTGGGCATACAAACACATAAGCACTGATGTTCAGTTTAATTATTTCCTATTGTAAGCAAACAGGCGTTGTCTTCTATGTTTATACTAATAGCATGACCTAGAGGAAATACAATCCAGAGCTGTCTCTGTTGATCATCCTGATTAGTTACCTAATCTGATTACTCTTCTTTGTGTTCCATATGTCAGATTCAAGGCAATAACCAGCACTGATGTATGAGGCCTGCTGTAGTTTAACAATTAAAAGAAAAAATAAAAATTGCCTAATGTAATTAATAGACATACAGCGGATGTTCTGCCTTTAATTTGATTAATGGTCTACTATGAGGATTTGCTTTTGTTCATTCGTCCTTCTTCTCCCACAGTGAACTTGCAGCTACTATTACTTGCATACTGTTTTTTGTAAGGTCATAATAAAGTTATCACGGATATGTATCTGTACAGGGAAGTTGATTTGAAAAAGCATCTTCAATTGAAATCAGTTATTGGTTCTGAAACTCTGAAACTGAAATCAGAGACTGTGATTATTAAGTTTATGCAAAAAAATTAGTGATACATACAGCGAAGTTATTGTTCCTGGGTAATGTTTTTTCTACTCTTAATCATTTTCAGAATATACTAATTTTAATATTCTGCATGTATTAAATCATACTCACCTGAAATTAACTGTAGAATGAAGCTTTATTAGGATATAAGGTATATAATCTTGTTTCATTCCATCTTCTAGGCTATAAGTATCAAAAGACTTAATTTGTCTAAATATTTTTGGTCTTCAAATAAACTGACTTTACACTTTAATTTTAAAATGCCCTCAGTGGACTGAGAGATCTGGGTTAAATCCTTCCTTCATTACTTTTACAATCTTATTAATTTCAAAGGAGCTTTATATGTGTAAATGAAGAATAAATTTGACCTTTTATTTTGAGATACAAGCTTACAGGGCAACACTATTTGTTAATCCTCTCAAAGAAACCTTTATTCAGAGTCTAGTTCCGTTGGATTACTTGCATGAGTAGCAACTACTGGATCCATGTTAAAATGTATTATATTTTAATGTTAGTTTTTGTTGTTCCTGACTTGTGTTTATTGGGAGGGTTCTGTCACTTGCTTGAGGGTTATTTAAAATCTTAAGTTACTTCTTGCCAAAAACTGAAACAGTGTATTAGGATGTATGAACAATGCATACTATCATCTACCATGATGAGAAAGCAATGTTTTTAGTAAGTATTATTGGTCAACTCTACTTTTTTCCAAAGTGATGAGAGATGTAATTTCCGATTTTATTTTAGTAATATGAATGCTCCTACATATGCAATTTTGTTTTATTTTTGAATTATTTTTAAAGTACTGAACAGTGCCTAAAGTAGGAGACACATCTGTCACATCAAGGCATTTCTGAGTTAGTGTTGACGTAGTATTCCTCACTTTGTCTCCCCTGTAGTTACTGCAGCACATATGGTATGGAAGATCACTTACTGCTCTTAAACCATTTTATGGTACACCATATGTGCTGTAACACTTGGACACAATGGGGTGAAAAATGCAAGATGAAATATCTCAATGTCCTTTTCTTTATTACTTAGAAAGCTATAACAGTTTGGTTTTGGGAAGACAAATACTATAAATAAAGCAACATATTAAAAGAACTTGGAGCTCATTTAATCATACATATAAAATGTAAAGGCAGTTTCAGTGCCTTAGTCAAGCCCAGGTACATCAGACAGTTGATATTAATTAATGTTTAGTTCCATAGAATACTCAATTTATAAACTGTATTATGCATTCTAACACCAGTGAACAAGTTTGTGATTCCAAATATGATCCTTAAAAGGCCACAGACATTTCACGACACTACAGAGGGAAGATGTGAGAGCATCACCAGTCTTCTAGGTCCCTGCTGTCATGGAATTTACTGAGTAAAAATGCTCAGATTGAAAGAAGTCGACCATGTCTCATACTACAAGAGAGAAAGAGAGGGCTTGGCTTTGCCCTTCTCTTGGTGAGACACGAGCCAGCAGTGTGCCCTGGCTGCAAAGGAAGCTAACAGTACACTGGGCAGTGCTTCAGCTTGGGGAAGACGTTGGTGTGATCTAACAGCAGCCTTCTAATACATACAAGGAGGTTATCAAGAAGATGGAGCATGGTGGCGCATGGAGTGAGAGACAGTGAACACATATTGGAACGAAGGCAGCTTTGGCTTGACATAAGGAAAAATGTTTCTCTGTAAGGACAGTCAGGCAGTGGAACAGGTTGCACAGGGGCGTTGTGCAGTCTCCATCCCTGTGAGTTTTCAAGACCCAACTGGACAAAGCTCTGAGCAACCTCAACTGACCTCATAGCAGACCTTGCTTAGGGCAGGGCTTTGGACTAGAGACCTCCTGAAGTCACTTTGTAGTCTGAATTACTCTAAGGTTCTGTATTCAGTCTAATATAGCTGGCTTAAATGTGATAGATTTACACAAGGCCAGAATGTAAGAAATTCTCCACTGCTTCTAGAAGCAGAAATGATGTGACCCTACAAAAGACTAAAGGTGATTTAGAGAAAGTAACATCTAGCTCCCACCTTCCTTGTCTTTCCCTCTAAAGCTAAGTAATATGCTAGAGAGAGGAAAAATTCCTCCCTAGTCCCTGGAAGTGAGCAGCAGAAGCCCCGAAGGATAGTTTAAATATTATATAAACATGATAATTATGCAATAAATTATAATAAGCCACATTTCCTGTTAGTATTTACTCACTTTTACCTCAGGTTTTCAAGCAGATGCAAGTTCCTGCTTTTTGGCTTGAAGGAAACTTCATCTGGTAGTTTTCCTTTTGTTTATTGGACGGTGCAAGAAGCCATTAGTTTAACATTTATTCCACTTAGAGCATTACTGTCCAGAATACAATAAATACATCATTTCTATCATAAAAATTAAAAAAAATTCAACATCTGCAGAAATTTTCTTTTATGTGCTTCAGCGATATCGGTGTGATCGCTGTCAGCAGGTAACAAAAATGCACAAAGATGGATTTTATTACATAGGCATTCTAGAGCCCACGGCCTAATAATCTAGTTAACTTTTTGGAGATTTTGCAGTTTAATGATTCTGTAATGTTAATCTAAGATTTGGCCAACATGATCCAGAAGAAGCAGGAAAGCAAAAGATACCTGAAAATTGTACTTTCTGCAAATCTGCTTTTATTGTGTAAAACATTGATTAGCTCCATAATGTATGTAAATTGGGATAATTTAATAAAATGGGAATTTGGATATATGTGTCAGAGAGAAAATGTTTGTGCAAAATGAGGTGGTCACAGAGTATAATTCAATTTTTTGTTCTTTTTATTGTTTGGCATTTCCATTCCTCAGTTTCTATTTTCTCTCTTTTCAGGAGCCTGATTCTGAGTACACTGTGTTTCAGGTAAAATTCTTTTCATAAATACAGTTACTAGATATGATCATTAGGAAGGATTTCTGATATATTGAATAATACTTGTTTTGTTGTTAAATCCTTAATGGCCTAAGTTTGTTTTTCATCATTGGTAAGGCAGTACATTTGATAAGGGGTATTATAAATAGGCAGCTTTTATATTTGATGGAAGTTTATTTCTCTCATATCTTTTCTATAGGTTTATTCAGCAGTTCAGTAGCTTAGTGCCTTCTAAAAGCTAAATTGCATCTATCTTGAACTGAATGACCTTCATCTGCTGATGAGATTAGGAAAAAGCCAATGTGTGTTTCACAGACAGAACAGTGTTTATGCTCTTAGGGCTCGCTTTCATGTTTCATTTAATGCGGTGTAATGGTGGGCTGTTACCCATGCCCTTCATGCTCCCACAGCTCATGCTCACTGCCTACCTTGTGTAGAGTCTGGTGGTCTTGAAGCTGCATGACGATGCTTTGTGTGAGTGGTGGAAGACTGAGAGTAGTTGATTAGTTTTCACTCTGTCCACATTAGCACTAGATTACTGCAATGGGAAGAACAGTAATGTGCAGATGGTGGCATCTTTTGGCTCCAGCCCAGAGATTAAATGCAATGTGAAATTGCATCTTTAAATACATATAGCTCAATAACATATTTTACAAGTCTTCCATTACATTACAATGAAGTCATGGAAGTTGTTTGCATACAAAATGGTTTCTGTGAAATGCTGCCGGATACCTTCTTGACTTTACGCTTCACAAGGTAGTTGTTGCATTCTGGGGTTTTCATTGTGTACCAAATAAAATTTATGATAATGGAAAGGATTATTGGAGAATGAAACCTCTTAGAAATATGCATTACTCAAATCAGAAAATACATTTAGGTTTAGATTCTAAGTTTATCTTTTTTTAATTTGGTTTTTGGACTTTTCAGGAACAAGAGGAAGACACTTGATTCAGTGACAAACCAGTTCTCAGGAACTAAATTAAAAACACTTTGTTACTTTTCTTTCTGGAGTTTAGGCTTCTTAAGAAATACCATATCATGTTTGCCAAGTTAATGCTAGTTATGTCATAGTTCTAATAAAGTTCTGTGTGACATTTTATGAATAGGTAGCAATTTTTTCATGAATGAAAAGGGTGTCAGAAATTCCATTTAATTATTTTGAAAAAAAGATCTTTTTCCTACATCTCCCTTTGTATTTGTGTGTCAGTATACATTTCTAATTTCTTTTCCCAACTTTGATTTCTCAAATATTCAGCATAACTGTGTGTGTATGCATAGAAATTATACTTTTCATTCTCATGGGTCTTGTAACTAGTAGTTAGCAATTTTGAATTGTCTTCTTGTCTCCCAAGGTAAAGGTCATCTTTCTATAGTTTAAGTAATGAATTTGACATTTTTCTCTCTCGCTGTTTTGATCATAAGTCCTGTAACAAACATTGCTGCAGACAATAATCTACAAACTGATGTTTAATTAACGAATAATATGTGATATTTGAATTTTTTGTTGGCTATGAAGCCTCAGACTAGGAGCTTAAGACTGGAAGAACAGCCTCAGGAATCTATTTTTTATGACAGATATTTGTCCAATAATGACAAAGTGATATGTTGCTTTAAAAAAAATTAACTCATGTTTGTTATTGGAAAAATCATAATGATATACTTATGTCTACGTTAAGAACTGCCCCCAGTTCTAGCAATTAGTGTAGAGAAGTTGCTTCTTTCAGTTCCCAGGAAAAGATCATTACTATAGGCAGCTTTTCTTATCCCTACCAGGAAATTAACCTGTGTTTGGCTATACTGAGAGCTGTAATTTCAGCATATTCCCAATATAGACATGATTATGTTGACTTAAGACATATATGTCTTTGAAAAAAGCAGAGTACCATCAAGGTGTTAAAAATGCAACAAACTAAATATTTCTATAGAATAATGAAAAACAGTTAAGGGTGCTGAACATCTAACTGCATATCTCAATGCTAATTAAAGGTTGTCACCCTACCACATAAGAAGCAACTAAAAGATAATAAAGCAGATCTGGATTATGTCTATTTGGCCTAGATTCAAATCATCCTGCTCTGTTCCTTTCTCTTCATACTTGAACAAAGGTTTCTAATTGCAGTGGATCTGGCTGGCTAAATCTCTCCTTTACCTCTGCTTGGAAAAAAGCACTTTTAAAAAGGAGAGTTAAAAATGTCAACATTTGTAGATATAATTTCTTTTTGATAGACAGTTAATGCATAGAAATATGAGGGAAGTGTAGATGTAGATATAATTTCTTTTTGATAGACAGTTAAAAAATGCATAGAAATATGAGGGAAGTGTAGAGGAAGGGATGGTCTGAAATATGATGAATGAGAAGTGTCCCATTAAATGATTAGTTAAATTATTAAATAAGCCTGAGGTCCAGATCTTCTCCTACCTCTTATTTAAAGAAAAAAAATGTTTTCATGTGCTTGACCTTTACTTCTATTAAAGTAGCATCAGTCTGTTTCTATTTTGAAACATGTCCTTAGCAAACATTAAACATACTTTTCCACCAGACTGCTGTGCCCTGTATCAGAAAAGAAACAAATCTAATTGTTTTGGCAGTGATTTTTACTCTGGAAAATGTATGATGATCTGTTTAACATCTGAAGAAAGATCAGGTATTGGCTTTTATTATGCCAGCTCTATGAGTACATTACAGGCATATTGCGTTGTTCAAGCAGTTGGATCTGCACTTCTTTTGTTGGTACTTCTGTACGGCTGCCACTGGTTTTTCTTTTCCCCATTGATTTGTAGTCTCTATAGTCTACACAAAGCTTGTTACATAGAGTAGAAGCTTTAGATCTTTCTAAAGACTGTTGCTTGTGGATAGTAATGTACTGTATCTTTAAGTGCTGGTTAAAAGATTTTCCTTCTTTCTCTGCAGATGCCTGGGAAGGGTCTTACTTTGCATTACAGCGGTTTACTTACCTTCCTCTCCCATCCCAGTTTAAATAATGTATCTGTGAGTGGTGGGTTGTGGATGGCACTGGTAGCTGAGGCTTTCTTCCAAAGCACAAGATCTCAGAGAGTTGCCTGTGACCTAAATTAGTCATAATTTTTCATGAGGCATGAAACTCTCTCCTCCAAACTCAGTTACTATAGCTGTTCCCCTCCGGAATTGTTGTCTAAAGTCTTGGTCCCCTTTCCACTTCCATCAGGCAACTGATGGATATACCCCACTGTTTAAGTCAATACTTTATTCAAGCCTGTTAAAACTCTGAAGGGAATAATAATTTTAAAATGGCAAAATTGCTGATTAGATTATTTACTTGGTGTCTTGGAGATATTTTACTTTTTTTTTTTTTTATATTCAGGCTGCTTGGAGCCTGAAAACGCGAGCTTTGACAGAAATGGTGTATGTGGATGAAATTGATATGGATGAAGAAGGAATCGCAGAGATGATGCTAGATGAAAATTCTATCGCTCAAGTTGCACGTAAGAATGACTTTCACTTAAATACACTGAAGCAACAAGAGCTCTTTTGTTCAGAGATGTAATCTAGCATAAAATAGTACATACTGAGGTGACCTGTAACCTCGTAGGGCTTTTAGCTATTGCTAGAGGAAGAGTTTTAGATTGTTTTATGGTTGCATGGCAATGTTGAGATACACCACATGATCTTGACATAGTGCTTAGGCCTGTGAGGGGGGGGGTTCAGACAAATAGCATTTTGACAGCTTTTCCTCTACATCACTGTACTCACTAGCTCTTTTCCATCAGTGCATTGATTTCTTTTATGCCTTTGTGGCTTCTTTAGGCACTGTAGGGAACTAGAGAAAAAGACATGCCCTTGATGTACTGTGAATCTCATCCATATATCTGTACTGTAGGCAACAGTCTGACCAAATCTGACATCACCTTTTTGTATCATTTCCTGCAAACATTTTCTGAACTGATTTTCTCTCTTCTGCTTTTCTCTGCTTTTTCCTGTCTTCCTCCCCAGGGCAGTTCTTCATCCCTGTCATTGTTTCTTGTATGCAGCTCTTTTTCAGCTTCATCATTTCCCTTCTGAGTGGGCAGTAATTAGTAGTCTTCTACTACTTTTTGGCATTATTTATATTTTTCTCTGTTTTAGTATATTTCACATCGGAATTTTTATACCTCTTACTAGATGTGGCTCTCAACCACCTACCATGTCAAGGAATTAAAGGGAAGAACTGTACATAGACCAGAACTAATATTTGAAACATTAAAAGCTTTTCTCATCTGGATAGAAGTAGGCAATTGCATATCTATCTGATTACATTTTTTAAAATTGTCATTACATGCTTGATCACATATAAACAGTCAAGCAGTACTCAAGTTGTGTTTGTACATTATGATAATCTAATTACATGTATCTGTCTCAAAACAGCATAACAGTATAATTTAGACTTTTATTTCATTCTATGCCTCCTGTGGTAGAGACCAAGAAAAATCATGTGATTATTATTACTGAGAATTAAGACATTCTGCAAAAATACATTCGTACTATATTTAAACTGAAAAAGGTGATTGTGTCACAGATTTCAAAGCCAGAGCAAATCATTATGATAGTGTAGCCTGTACTCCTGAATCACTGAGATAAGGCTTTGCCATTCATGCTTCAAATCCACTAAATGTGCCTGAGCTAATATATAGTTTTTCAGAAAGTATAAACACTTTCCATAGAGAAAGAACCCCCTGCAGTCTGTAGTAAATTATTAAATTTGCTAGTTTTTATCAGTGTATGCCATATCTTTAGTGGGAATTATCAATTATAGCTCCAGCTGTTGCTTCTTTTTGTACATTGTATGCCTGATATGGAGTCTTTATTTCCAAAGTAAATAGTTAAAACTGTAATTAAGTCATCCAGTGATCTTTTTGATAAGCTAAACAATCTTCTCATTCTGAGGTAAATCTTTTATTTTTTGAGTTGAGTCTTGAAACTGTCTTCTTAACCCTTTCCAATTAATCTGCATGCATTTTCAGTTGTAGTCACCAATCCAGACAACACCAGACAACAGTCTGCTGACACGTAGAAAGTACATTTTTCTTCTACAGCATGATTTTACTTTATTTGTTCATCTGAAGTGTTTTTCTGTTACACTTTATGTAAAAGGTAAGCACAGATATCACTAGAGAGAGTGCAAAGAGGGTGGAGCCAGTCTTTGCAGTGGTGCCCAGTAACAGGACCAGAGGCAATGGGTACAAACTGAAACACAGGAGGTTCCCTCTGAATGTCAGGAAATGGTTTTTTTTACTGTGAGGGTGACCAAGCACTGGCCCAGGCTGCCCAGGGAAGTTGGGGAGCCTTCCTCCTTAGAGATATTCAGAAACCGTCTAGGCAGGGTCCTGGGCAACTGAATTTGGGTGGCCCTGCTTAAACCTGGTTGGACCAGGTGATCTGCAGACATCCCTTGGGAAGGGTAAAAGTGAGAAAACCATGTTCATTGTGTCAGGTTTCTTACAATAGTCTGACAAATTATTAGTAGGACAGTGCAATATTTGGTTTTTGTCTTCTTTGTCTAGTGCTATGGCCCCTCAGCTTGAACAAAGAAATTTCCAGTTTATTGTAAGACACTATTTTTAAAGTCCCCTGGACAAGGGTGTAGTATCTCAATGTGAAGTGAGAAATGCTCTGATTTTATAGGACCAGGAACATCTTTGAAAGTCCCTGGAACTGGCCAAGGTGGGGGCCCCAGTCCAGCTGTTAGGTATGTGATTGTTTATTTTTTAAAAATGTGACTATTTACAAATATGCAAATCCTAAATGTAACTTCTGAAAATGAAATGCTTCAGATATAAGTGTTTAAATTCTCTATCAATAAATACCACTCAACGTAAGGCTAGTGTGCTTAACATCTTCAGGCCAGTAACTCAATCAGGAAGACCTATTACGGGATTCGTGAGACCCAGCACACAAAGTGGACGGCCAGGTACTATGGAACAGGCTATAAGAACACCTCGAACAGCTCTCACAGCTCGTCCAATCACTAGTGCTTCTGGGAGATATATCAGGCTAGGAACGGTAAGTTATTTGACTCTTCTCAGAACAATGCCTTTCTTTGTCGTAGTATCTGGTACCGTGACGTACTTAAAAGCTGCATCTAAACTAAAGTTTGAAGAAGGTAAACATTTCTAATTTGTTGTTCAAATTGTTTTCAAAGTAGAATTTGAAAATATTACTTCTTTTTAGTTTGCTAGTCTGTTTATATAAAAAGTACATAAATTCACAAAGATGCACATAAATTCCAAATTCACAAGTTCCGTGAGACTCATTTTTATTTACTGAAGGCCATGAAGGGACTATGACATGATTTCACCATAAGTATGTTGAAACCTTCGTTTACTACGAAACAATTACTAATCTCTCAGTGTCTGTCACTTCAGAAGATAGAGAAAATAAACTATGTTTGATTTATCCTGTTCTGTAGGCAAAATTAATAAACTGCATCTGGCATGAATATGTAATACAGATTAACATCATATTAGTGGCAAAATTTGATATCATCTCAGTATCATAGGTATGATCTTCCTAAACCTTTCTTGAAGATTTTTTTGTTATGTATCCCAACTGCCTTCAGTCCATCTAACAGTTGCTCCAAGCTTTCCATATGTGCCTACATGCTTAGGCTCATATGGAAATTGGGGAGAGAGGGAAGAAAAAGGTAGTTCCAGAAGGTAATACATGCAACCTCTTTCAGGGACTGTGTAGGAGTAGGGCAAATTCCTGGCTTTCAGAAAAGGTGAAATTCAGTAATAAGAGTCTGTACTGCAGACAGTAGTGAGCAATGCATCTACAAATGCTTTGTTTGCTTGGTTGGGAGTTTTTTGTATACTACTA